TGAAGAATTACAAAAAAGAAGGAAAAAAAAAAAAAAGTTTAGAAGTAGCAGATGGTGTCTTCTCTGCATCCCTGCCCAAAGTTGCTACAAATCCATCACCCACCTTCTTCCAAGTTAAACCCTTGTGAACGTAGCGAGTGATGAGCGAGCGCAAAGTGTTCCAGCTTGGCCCAAAGGCATGGGTGTCAAAAGCATAATGAGTGAGAGGCTGGTGTCAGGCACTTGAAATCTGTAATTAAGCATAAAAAGAAGTTTCAGGCTTTTCTGGCTCCTGATTTCCCTTGCTTGGGAATGAGGATATGAGCGGCTGTTGGGGAGGGGGCTTGATATTAGTCTCAGAAGATACTGGGTAAAGCCACCCTCCTGCAACCCCAGCTCCCATCCTAGGTGGGATACAATGTAAATACAGTGAATACTCTGGAGTTTAAATAAATACGGTGTAGATGCTGTGTTACAGATATTCAGTCTTTCTTTCAGCTTTGGGTATCTCAGAGCAGGACACCTTGACAGCACCGTATTTTGCCCTCGTTTCAGGTAGAGCAGAGAGTGCTGCAGGAGAAAATGGGAACCTCCAGAGTACGGACGAAAGGGTCACACTTACTTCCTTTTTGGCCAGTGGTTCGATTGGTTAGTATTGCTGTTATTTGGCCAAGGAGGCAAAGGAAACCCAAAGCTGAAGCCTCCTGCTGCAGAAATGCTTTGAGATCTGCCCAGATAAAAAGGAAAATAACTCCTAGAAGGTGTTTATTGAGTTGTACCAGGACTCCAACCTGTGGATTATTTAGTGAAGGAATGAGATTCCCGCCTTATTTTTATGTGTGCTTGTGCTGGCATCTTGGGATTTGAGAAAGCAGTGGACTTCTCCATTGGGGAAAGTCTTTGTGGATGGATGGGAATGACGGGGAGGGGGGAGGAGTGGGGGGGACACAGCAGGGATTCTCCTTTGCCCCATCTCCCTCAGTGCAGGGGCAAAAAGGGGCAGGTTTGTACCCGTCACTCCAGTTTCAGCGGTGGGTCCCTGCCCACCTGGGCTGGATCTGGTGACCCCACGAAGTGTAAATCCCTCCTGCAAGGAGGAGCTGTCTGCGCTCTCTGAACAAGGTCATCTTGTGGGTGGAATGTGTTAGTCCTGGCAAAAAGGGCCTGAAACCTCCTCAGGTGCTTTCAAAATCCAAGTAAGTGTTTGAAGTGGAGGTTTACTCCCCCTCTGCCCCCTTCCTCCCGGTGCATAGTAAATGAGGTGTGGACAAGCAGTGCAGTCTTTGCAGGAATAACTTCACCTCGAGCCTGGCCATTTTGGGGATGAGAAGGAGCAGTTGGAGGAGCAACTCGTGTGTCTCAGGGCAAGGAGGAAGAGGAGAAGACCCTGAATTAGCCACCTGCCCTTAGAGAAGGGGGTGGAAGGGCCAGGCTGCTGTGGGCAGCTCTTGCTCCCTTCTGGGTGTATACATCAACATGGATAAATACGTATAAATGTGTTGGGAAGTTGTCCATCTTCATGTCTTCGCTAGTGCGACGAGGTGGTGGTTCATCCATCCATCCCACCCCAGGGAGCATGGCAGGAGCTTAGCTCCGGTGCCTGACTTACAGACAAATCCAGCCCTTGGGCAGCTGCTGGGCTTAGTTTTTATCACCCACATTTTCCATCTGCTGGAGAGAAATAGCTATCTGCTTTTTCCCTCTGCTTGCCTGTTGCAGTGGCCATCCTTGCTGTCGCAACAGCGTCTGTCTCACTCGGACCCTTCGGTGCGCATTCATGGAGAGAAAGATGTTTAAGAAGTGTTTCTGGCGGGGGAAGGAAGGGAAAAGCTGGGAAAATCAGACTGTGGAGGACAGGGACGTTGGCTGAAAGTGCCTGTGGAAGGCCGCTGGCTCGTGCAGGCAGGACCAGCCATGTCCTGCTGCAGGACACTGGAAGTGACCCTCTGCAGAGAGTGCGTTTCCTTACAGAGACATTAAAATAGCTGTGTGTAGAGGTATCTAACCTGCTTCTGGCATTACTGGAGCCTAACGTAGTATGGTTTGTAGAAGATGATTGTTTGGGGGCATTAAAACTGCTGAAGGGAGTGGGAACCGAGACACGCATGACTTCTTTGAACTCTCTCTTAATTTATTACGCGCGGTCCGAAACCCGCCGTAATAGATACGGTTGCAGGAGACCATTAAAGGTCCGTTCTGGTGAACCTGATGCCCCACTGTTGCTGCTGGAAGTGATAAACCGCTGCGCTGGGGTCGGATGGTATGCGATGCCCTGAGTGTCTGCGCGTATGCATGGAAGCCGGTAAGCCCTGCTAATTTAGGGTTTGTTTTCCAAGTCTGTTTTCTATAACTCCATAGACTTAATACAAATAAAGAACCGACCAAGTTTCCTGTGAGAAGTGCAGAACAAATGCTAAGTGTGGGATTTGAACGCAGAAAGGTGAAAACAAAAATGTATACAGAAACAGCAAGTCAAACAAGCTGAAAAAATATTGTAAGGTTGATTTAACAGAGCAGTGAACTCCAAGCTGTCTAATCCTTTTAGCAGCCTTCTTTAAAGAGGAGAAATAAAAGAATTTTTGACATCTACTTTTCTTTTGCCATCTCTCCCAACTCTTTCTAATAATGCTGAAGGATAAGAGTTGAGTTTAGCACCAGGGCAAAGTGTTGCAGCTTTAGTTAAATGTGCTTTCTAAATAACACAATCTTCGTTTGTCGTTCTCGGCTTTAGATTAAAGTGGATCAGGCTTTCTGAAAGGAGATTACTGTTAAACTTCTCCAGCTTGGGTACCTGGCACCTAAATCTCGCTTGAGGCACTGAAATAACAGGCTTGGTTTTGAAAGATGCTGAGCCAGGTCAGGCTCTGCATTTAAATCGCTTAAGCACTCTCAAAATCTGACTATTCATTTTGATGCCTAGATATGGATTTCTGGTCTTAATCACTGACCTTTGCATTTCAAATGTTTGGCCTTTGTTTTCTTTACTAAGTATGCAGACAGAGCGGCCCCCAAATTATTATTTTGCCTTTTACACAGCTGAAAAGAGCTAGCAGAGAAGACTTGAAGGTCTGCGTCTTGTTACGGAGAAATAGAGATCTTTGAAAAATACCATTTTATGTAACTCAAGGGAAAATTACATAAAGAGAATATTGACTTATTTTCATTCACGTGAACATGATCCGTCATATATCTAAACCCTACAATCAGTTGGAAGAAAACCCACCCAAACTACCCTAAACCTTTGCCCTCTCTTAATCCGTGTACAAGAGGGTTTTTTTTTTTTTCAGATGTCCTTTTTTCCCCCCCTGAAATAGAGGCAATTGATAGGCTCATAAACAAATACCAAACATTAAGTCCTAATCTCCATATAGAGGAGCCTGACCCTTTTTATGGAGAGAGAGGGTAGAGGGAGGAAACGGGGCCAGCAGTTTGAGGTTTAATGCTTATTAAAGTTTTAGTGGGTGGGAAAATGCAATCAATAAATTTTGTTTAATGCCTCGAAACTGGTGTTAGTTTTCACTAGCTGCACTGGAGAGTAGTTTTCATTTTGAAACTAGGACACTCGTAGTTGGAATGACAATTAATGTGGAGTGAATATGGTCCCAGTTGGAAGCCGATTTTTTGAATAGCATGAAAACTCCCCCCACCTCCCCGCCTTGGCTCCGGAGTGGGGTAGCTTCCGTTTTTAATTAGCGAACCAGGCAAAATTTAGCTCATTGTGTCTTTCTGCTCCTTTGGCCCAGTGGATAGCTTGGATTTCTCCATCTTGCTGTCATGAGGCTGTTCTTTTTTATTTTTTTTCCTTCAGTTTTGGTGTGGGGATGAAGGGGGGGGGCTTCAGGATACTTGGGATTAAAGTCATTGTTCAGGGGTATTTGCAGCCAGCTGCCTGCATTAAATGAAGATTAGAGGAGCGCACATTAAAAGTGCGAGGGAAATGCAGAGGAGCTGGGATTTGGGAGCTGCATAGCTGTGAACCAAAGGGGAAAGGTTGGGGCTCTATGGCAAATTTTTTCTGATGCCATGTGATCTCAAAGCCTACTTCAGAAAAGCATCATAAGTACCAGAAAAGCATCACAAGTAACTGCCAGGGCCAGGTCTGGCAGGGAATTGTAAAGGCACCGTGAGCCTTTGCATCTCTAAAAAGTTCCTCCGACGTAAACCGAAACTTTTGGGCCTGGCGAACTTATGCATTGCTTAAAAATTCATCTGCAAGAGCACTTGAGAGGTGGTGAACCTTTTGTTAGAATTCATTAAATAGCTGAAAACCTGCCCTGGAGGTTAACTCCAAAATTAATGAATTTTTGAAGGATTTTGGGAAGGATATGAGAGTGTAAAGGAGGAGCCCAGAAAAAGTAACTCAGAAGAATTGTTCAGCAATGCATGCTTGTTCTTTTAAGCATTTTAGAAGACAGTTTAAAAATATTTCCAAAGATTGAGTCCTGTCTTTATGCCTTGTGGAACACCCATATGTGTAATCTGTTGTTCTTGTTGCAAGCTTTGCTAATTGCTTGGTGCATGTCACCCACAAAACCCTACCAGGTAGCCTGGTCCACAGAAGCAGGAGGTGTGGAGCACTGATGCTGAAGAGTGTAGGTTTGCTCAGGGCCTCCACGCTTCAACAGGACCCAATCCTACTCTGATGGAGGCTGGGGACAAG